GGGTGTGGAGGAAGATTCTTAAATGTCGTGGATTGGAAAAGCAGCATATTACTGGTAGTGGGGAACATTGTCGTGGGATGGTGTAATTTTGGCTAAGTATTCAGTGAAGAAGGTGTGGGTAGCAATTCGAATCCCATCACCTGTGGTTACATGGTCTCATCTTTTGTGGAATAGGCCGATCTATCCTACGCACTATGTCCTGGTGTCGCTCATCATTTTGGGGCGGATCAAAACACGTGATAAGCTGATAAGTTGGGGGGTTAGATGTGATGCTTGCTGTGTTTTGTGTCCTGGGGGATTGGAGAGTAGAAATCATTTGTTTAGTTCTTGTTCATATGGTACTGTTGTTTTGAAACAGGTGTTGCAGGGGATTTTGACATTTCCTGGCTTCAATGACTGGCAGTTGCACCTGCACTGGGCAGAGAGAAGCTGGTCTCAAACCTCTGATGCAGCTGTGGTGGGTAGAGTGCTCTTATTAATGGGAATCAGTGGGATATGGAAAGAGCGTTGTGCACAGCTTTATGGAACAGTAGCAGCAACCTCCCCATATTAACTTCCAGTTGAGAGTACAAAAGCTTCATGTAACTAGTTAAATATGGTAGAGTTGTTTGGTTTATAAAGTTGTAAACAGGTAGTTACATTTTGAGAGGGAAGTTGCGAGTTGCACTTCCCCGGGCTTCAATCCAATTTTTGATTAACCATAATTTTTTTTTTTTATAAAACTCACCACGTAGTTGTTGAGATTGTGAAAATTGTTATGTTTTAGTGAAAAAATTCGACAGCCTGTGCGTTGAACACTGTCCATTCATAGTACTAATGAACAATTGGGCTGCATAAAGGTCATCACGCAAAGAAATCATTCGCCAATTTACACGTTTAAAGCACAACCATATCCTGGGCAGAGCAACAACAAGGGCGCGCGCGACTTTGTTACTGGCATGCTGAAATCTTTCATGCACAAAGGAGCTGAGCTGAGAGACCAAGATGGACTTTTCGACACTTGCAAAAGCTACTATTCCTTTCTTTCCTTCCACCACGTACGCCTCAGTTTAAGCCACCCAGCTAGCTAGCGGAAAACAAACAAACAAGATATTATTTGTAGCTGTTAGTTGCCACACGTTTGTAGCAGCCGACCCACATGTTTGTTCCCACCATAACCAGAACAGGAGACACGCATTACGGTTTGTCTGGTCTTTTGTCCTTGTTCTGTACCTTCCTTTGTCCGGATATCGGATCCCTTTACATCTGCTAACTAATTCTGACCCTTTGCTTGCCCCATAAGTCATGAAAGGCAAAGCCTCATATCATTGTTTTTTGCCTACCCTGTGGTCTCCTTTGCTTGCCAAGGATCTTCAACAGCTCCCCCACTTCCTAAGCATATCTAATCACTTTCTTGGCAAAGAAACAAAAGGAGTTGGGAGCCAACACAAAAGCTATGTGCTTCTTTTTCTCTTCCACGATGCTATCGAATCAGTGTGAATTGGATCAGAATCGGACAGCAATTCGATAATAGTAATGAATTGCTTTTGGACGTGAGATTTGGATTGGGGCACTCGGTCCATAATTCTCGAAATATACAATGCAAGTGTGAGTGAAATAATTTGCATTCTTTATTGAAAAATCAATTTCTTATTATTGTTTCAGTTAGCATATTCCTCTTTTGGTTTCTGGTAGACATGGCATATCCTTGTTTTTTTGTCAAACTCGCAAAATCCAGTTTGTTATCGCTTCGCGTATTAGAAAAATAAATAAATATTTTAAAGAGTAATAGTTTTAATGTTGACCCAAAAGTGAAAGTAATCTTACTTCATTCTTAATCATTTCTTTTCATAGGTTTGTTATTTACAATAGCATATGGTCGATGAACTTGCATAAGATAGAAGGGCCGTACAATAGATTATTTATGTTTATATTTTTTTCATGACGCTTCAACTTGTATGGCTAGTAATTGATCCTGTTGTAACTTTTGCGGAATAAAGCATCTTCTCTGGATCTTTTCAAGAAGTATTAAAAGAAATTGATAAGTGTTTAACTAAAAAACTATCATAATTATTTTCTAATATAAGAGGTAATGAAAAATGACTAAAAACGATTTCTCACATAAAATATGAATACAAATTTTAAAAATAAAATAACATAAAAAATACTCAACTCATAAATAAAAAAATATAAATATAGACCGATTGTTCCAAAAACGTATTTAAAATGGATCACGTTAGATTTATTTCATATTAAATAATATTATTTTTTAATTTATTTTTTATAATGATATAAATGAAATAAAATTATGTTTTCTAGAAAAGAATAATATATGATAAGGACAATTTTTTATTTTCAAATTGGAGTTTCTGCTTTTAAGTTACGAAAAACTTCAGTTTTTTAAAAAGGGCAACTTTAGAGGTGTTTGGCTTGGCTTCAACTTTTGAAACATAAAACTTCTAAAATTCGAGCCAAATATAGTCGTACTCTTTTGACTTTTTTTTGGGTTTGAGGTAATCGTGGTTCTCATTTATGAAATTTTTGGACTGATTGCAGGTTTGAGAATGTTCAACTCACATTGGTCGGGTGTCGGGTCAAATTAGGTTGGATACCCATGGATTTGTGATCAATTATCTTTCTCAATCAAAAGGAAAAAAGCAAAATGGAAAACTCTAAAGCTAAAACTTACTACCGTCTCAAAATTTGTCAACACCAAGTTCAACTCGCTTTGACCTGATTGGACTGAGTTTTGGACAAATTCACACCTGACACAACACGCCAATTACAAAAACAGATAATACTCGCTCCGGCCGAAAAACCTGTAAAATCGGATTCAAGTCGCTTTGGTCGGGTCGAATTAGGTTTTATACCCATGCGTTTCATGAAAAATCGACTAAAAGTTATGGCCTTTCAAAGTTTGTCAAAATCGAAAAATTGCTCGTTCGGGGTAGGAATCGAATTTTTTTTGGGATGCAAGCTTTTGCATATTGAAAGATATTGAAAAGTTATGGGGAATGAAAAAAAAATTCGCTACAATCGGATAACCGAGCGCATAGTTACGTTTGTTTGAAGTTTCGATGTTACGTAAGGTATTCACCGCGGCCGTCAACTGCAGTGATGCATTCACCGCTTTCGTCTGCCTGACGACCGCAGTAATGCCCAAACATGTGTATTTTGGGGGGGAAAATTATAACGTATGTATTTTGAGAATTTTTTTTTAAAACATGTGTATTTTCACTATTTTGAGATTTTTTCCTGCAAAATACCTCCGACTGCCATCACTACATTTGTAATTGTTAATCGAAACAAAACTAGTATGGAATAGAACCTGAATCGATAAAGAAATTTACATGATTTTCTCGTTCATGATGAATGTTACTAGTACACGGCCAAAATATTAGGTTTCTCTTATTTCTTCTTTATTTAGACAACACATTGTAGTTAGTAACTTTCCTTCCATGGATTATTTTTTATAAAAAAAAACTCAGGGTTCGTTTGGATGAAGCATTCTAACAAGTCATCTTGATTTTATTTTGAGACAATACGAGACAAGTGGGTCAAATTGACACGTTTGATAACATAAAATTTGAAGAAGCAAAATGTACTGGAAAATCCTGAATTAACTCATTTTGAAGAAGTAATTATTTGTGGTGAGACAGGTAATTTGAAATAACCCATTCTGTAAAAGAAGAATTGTCTCGTTTTCCACTTCATCCATCCAAATGATGATATAATTAATGCCTATGTTTGGCGCATCTTTTAGAAGTGCTTTTCTGTTTCGAAACTTCAATTTGAAACTTCTGCGAAAAACTGTTTTGAAAATAAAAAATTATTATTACCATATTTTAATTTTATTTCATCTGTACCATTTTAAAAATTCAAATAAAATATAAATTCATATAATTTAATATACGAAAAATCTAACAAGATTCATTTTGATGAGTTATTATTGTTTTAAAATTGTATTTATATTTTCTATTTTATATTATAAATCATTATAATCATTTTTAATAATTTCTTATATTAAAAATTACTTCTAATAATTTTTCATTCAATAATCAACTACATTTTTTGAAAAATACTTCACCAAAAGCTCTAGCAAAAATCTGCTTCTGCAAAAGTTGTCGCAGGCCCAAACTAGCCCAATATTTAGTAGTCGACCGTTCTAGAAGGGTTATATGAATATCGGTCAAGCGTGTAGCTATAGGGTGCTTCTTCTCCATGGTTGTCACGCCGGCCGGCGTGCCACCGGTCGTACCGGGTTCAGCCGGTACCGGTCATAATACCGACGTGACACCACCAGTATGACCGGCATGATCGATATACGAATCTCTAAGTAAAATGACTTTATTTTAGAGAATTTAATTGATAAAAAATATTTTATTATTTATTTTATGAGTATAAAAGTTAAATATTGATGTTATTTGTTGGAGTCAAGTATAAATGCTTAGGTATTGACGTTAAATGTCATGTTTAAATATGAGAATTTATAATTTTATTTGTAATATTGACCGGCATGAACCGGCACAAACCGGTATGTGCCACCGGTTAAACCATTCCACTTGCTAAACCAGCACACTGGCATAAACCGGTTTGACAACCTTATTCTTCTCTCACCCACGTCCCACGGTAGTCGGTACGTCTCACCAACTAACAAAGTACCGTACCCGTACGGAAGTCCGTTTCCCGGGTTTCTTCCGTTACCAAATAATCCATCTAATCTATCCATAAAACGACAAAGAAAAAGGGTATAATCGCAATTCTCACAACCAACCAGCCTGTTCCCCATCCAACCGCTCATTTCGTTCGCCGTTGTAACGGCCGTTAGATCCCTGCACGTGTCAGCCTCTCATTCGCCTTCCTCCCCCCAGAGGCAGGTGCGGAAAATGGGATATCCAAAAAAAAAATACCTTCGTATCAATCAAAACCGCTTTACCGTAACACAAATTCTCTTCTCATTTCCTTTATCTTCGGCTTTTAATTAAATATATAACTAACTAATTAAAACCTTCCACCTAAAAAGCACCATTAATATTTCTAAAATTAAAAAAATAAAGAGCCAAAATCCCATTCCTAATCATTTTCTTTTATAAATACTGGCGAAGGAGATCAGAAAACCGGCAGACACAGAGGGACTAGCGAGTAGAGAGTGAAGTAATGAGCGAAGCCTTGAAAAGAGACTACCAAATCTGCGAGGAGATCGGCCGGGGCCGCTTCGGCACCGTCTTCAAGTGCGTCTCCCGCTCCTCCGGCGACTCCTTCGCGGTCAAATCGATCGACAAATCCCTCACCGCCGGCGACTCCCTCGACGCCCAGTGCCTCCTCACCGAGCCCAAGGTCCTGGGCCTCGTCTCGCCGCACCCTCACCTCGTCCAGCTCCACGCAACCTACGAGGACGATTCTCACCTCCACATGGTCATGGACCTCTGCCCCAATTCCGACCTCCACGCCCTAATCATCGCCAACGGCGGCGCCTTTGCGGAGAATGAAGCCAGATCTGTTTTCGCCCAATTGATGACGGCCGTCTCCCACTGCCATAGGAAGGGAGTGATTCACAGGGACATCAAGCCCGACAACGTGCTGTTCGATTCGTGGAATTCGGCGAAATTGGCGGATTTCGGGTCGGCGGAGGTGGTGGCCGGAGGCGAGGCGGCGACCGGAATTGTGGGGACGCCGTACTACGTCGCGCCGGAGGTCTTGTCTGGGTGGGAGTACGGGGAGAAAGTGGATGTGTGGAGCGCTGGTGTGGTTTTGTACATAATGCTCGCTGGCTTTCCCCCTTTCTATGGGGAGACGGCGGTGGAGATCTTCGACGCCGTGTTGAGGGCGAATCTCAGGTTCCCGCCGAGGGTTTTCCAGTCGGTTTCGCCTAAGGCGAAGGATCTGCTGAGGAGGATGCTGTGTAAGGATGTCTACAGGAGGTTCTCTGCAGAGCAAGTGCTCCGTAAGTTCTTAAAAAACAGAGACACTCTGTTTTTTTGGCTCTGTTTATCCCAATTTCTTATTTTCATTGTTTCCTTCATTTTCCAAACACAAACTCAACGAATTTCCTCTGGAAATTGAGCGCTTCCCATGTTATGAGATGAGGGCAGAATGAAAAGGGTGCGAGGATTTCCCATGTTCTGACCTCTGATTTTTTTCCTCCAAATTTGTTGCAGGGCATCCATGGATGACTGGTGGAGGAGGAACCTGAATCGCAAATGAATTGGTATAGCGTGTAGAAAAGAAGAGTAAATAGAGTGGACTGCGGCTTGCAACAGCTTTCGTGTATTGTACATGGGGAAGGCTGCTTTGTTTACTTGCGGCCATGTTAGTAGTAGTTTTGTGTAGATATGTGGATATGGAATGGGTGGCTTACTGGTTCTCCCTGCTTCTGCTCTGAGTTTGGTATAGAGAAGAAGCAACTTCTCCTTCCTTTTTTTGGTTTGGGTTTCCATGTGTTTTTGTCCCATAAGGGGATAGGGAAGCCAGGAAGCCATTACTAATTCCTACCACTAGTGTCAGTATGGTATAAGCATAGCAGAGGAGTACTGAAAAGGGATGATGAAGCAGGTGATTTGGCGTTAATGGCTGCTTTGATTCAGGGGGAGGGGGGTTTTTGGTATTGAGCAATCTTGTACGGATTATGCGCCTGTATAATTATAATTATTAGATAATGGAAATGACTGGAAATTTTAGGGTTTTGCTGGGATTCCGTAGATCATTCACCCCGTGAAATTATTTGCTTCTTTGGGGTGTAGCCGTGTAGATACAAACTGTTATTAGACAGCCAATTCGATTCAAAATTCTCCTCTACTCTGTTTTGTTTTACTCTTAGTAGAAGTTGTACTATAAGACAACAACTGATCAATCGTTTAAGAGCGTTCGGTTTTTTTTTTTTTTTAATATTTGATTTCCATTATCAAAACGAAGATTATGAGGATGCATGACTAATTAGCATAAACGGATACAAATCTTTTGTATTTAGTATAAAACGGTTATAAATATCTAATTTATAACGAAACGGTAACTAAAGTTTGAAATTGTCACTTTTGTTTAATTTGTGATAGTTTTGTACTAAGTGCAAAGGTACCGAATCGATGAAAACTAAAAGTTTGTGATCGTTTTGAGGTCGATCGTGTCATCAAATATACAACGCTAACCACTTCAAGGAAATATGAGTTGTCGGGTAGTGTGTTCGTTCAGTATATGGGACTATACAAACTATACTTCTATCGTGGCTACCATCTTCTAAAGTGATCCCAATATCCTTCTCAAATTTGAGATGAAAAGCAGCTCGCAAGTCGTGTTTTAGGCATTGAATTCTCTCACTGTCATTTTTTGTTACGATCACATTGTCCAGATAAATGAAAAAAAAGTCATCATGCCTCGACTGGAGTGAATTGTAAATAATGATGGATCTTCCAAACCTTTGACCTTTGTACAAAACCACCACAAAAGTTTAATTTGTAATGATATTATTATTAAGGTTTGAACTTGTATGAAATGGTCGTTTTCATTCAATTTGTCACTATTCTGTACTAAGTGAAAAATTTGTAACCGTTTATACTAATTATCTTGGGATGCATTGAATATGTTTATCCTAACTCCTAATGTGTTTAGTAATCGAGACTCTTCCTAATAAATAATGAACACATTACCTGTCGAAAAAAAAATGAACACATTATTTTTATATAGGACGTATGAACTAATGGACATATATATATATGCACACTCTTTTTTTTATCATTGAAAAGCGAGATTTAGATATAGATTTTAGAAAAAATCTCTGCGGCATGGAATTCAATTTCGGCCAATTGATTCAGTTAGGGGTGGCAGTCTGGTTATCGGTTAATCGACCGGTTAAATCGATAACCGACCGGTAACCGAAGTAATCGAACTTCGGTCGATTATCGGAAACTGGCCAAAATGGTTTTTGGTCTTAAAAGTGGTTCGGTTAACCGATAACCGAGGTAATCGAGAAATCGAAGCCTATTTCGGTTGGTTTTCGGGGAGGGGGTGTTTATTTTGGTTAACCGATAACCGGCCAATCGGTTGCCGGTTATAACCGAATTGCCAACCCTAGATCCAGTTTACATTGATTATCGTTAAGAGTGAACATTCTTTTGTCACTTACTTGACTTGGATGATGATTGCCGGTCATTTTTAAGAAAGCAGGGTGTTGTGAAGATGAATTATTGCAAAGCGACATTACTTGCCTCGTCATATGAGGAAGAGGGTCAATAATTAAATTATCAAAGGACACCGGCGGCAACAATGCAGCTGAGGTTCCACCAACCCATGTGATGTGTTCCAACTGTCCCAACTACCTAACTTTGTTTGGAATTATTATTGGTAAAATTTGGATAAATATAATTAAGATAATTTCTTGGTGAAAAAGGTATGAAGCTTTCTTTAAACTATGATAAATTATAAAGGAAACAATTAGGAAGAGGGAGATAAAGAGGGATGTTTCTTGTTAATTAATTATTGGAGGGGTGTTTGTTGTTGTTTGTTATTTTATTGATTTTCCCTCAAAATATATCATGGTTAGATTTGGCAAACCAAAGCAAAGGGAAAAGGAAGATGGAGTTAATTACGGGATAAGGATTCCATTTTTTGTTTTGGTATTCGGGAAACGAAATTACGAACCAACTACTATAACCATCCTTATCTCTCTCCCTCAACCAAGTTGTCAAACTAGTGTAATGATTCTATCGGTGGTACAACCGTTTTGTATTAATTTACATAGGTTTAACAAAATATGTAGAAATGTGAAAATTATTAACATCAAATGAATTTAATCATATATAAACATATTTGAAGATGATTTACTTATAGTTCATATTCATATTTAAATAAAATACGATATTGCAAATAAAAGTGACAAATACTCATATTTAAATACCACATTTAACATCAATATCTAAATAGTTATAGTTGAATCCAACAAATAACATCAACGGTTAACTTTTAAATCATAAATTAATTATTTTATTAACTAAATTCACTAAAACAATGCAATTTTACTTAGAGGTCGTAAATCAATCATACCGATCATTACTGATGGTGTTCATGCAGGTTTCATAATCAACACCAATTAAACCAGATTCAACCTACGGGCGCAATGCTATAGACGTGACAACCATGCAAGTAGCACATGGAAACAAGTAGCGCCATGTCCGTCACATTTGTAAATAATTTTACTGGAAAAAGATGGATACTTTCTTTCTTTGTTTGATGCGGCCGGGTTGCTTTGAGGGTTACATACATAAGTTTTGTGTTTCCTAATCAATCTCCATCGGACGAGAGATAATGACGTGCACGTTTAACGATTAACTAAAAGCTGAATTATTTGCGTGACCCCTTTGTTTCTTTGTGGGGAATAGATCCATCGTTCATCAACTAATCCCCAAATCACAAATCAATAATAAGAAATGCATGTCTGGACTGAATCAACTATATTATTATCACCATCTGGGGCGTGCAACTTAATTACCGCTGACAAAAAACCCAACATAAGCAGAACTCGGTCGAAGAAAGCATAGTTAGTAGTAGTTAATATGGCAGTGACAAATCTTCTGCAACATACATAAAATAAGGAGACCGCCTGATGTTGACATTATCCCATTGAATTGATGACTTTGTGGGAGCGAGTCTGTTTGTCCCGTTGGTCCGATCAAACAAGTAGGTGGAGGTTAATGAAGTAATCATAATACAAGCTCAAGATCGAGCTTTGGATGGCCAGGGCACGCAAGTAGGAAAAAGGGTTGGTGTGGTGATGGTTTCGTAGTGAAAACAGAGATGGTGGATGGGCGAATGGGAGGAATCCAATTAGCAACTTTGACACGTTCGGAGAGAGGCTAATGTGGAGTAGAATCACCAATCAGTAAAGTGTTTAATTGGCTTGATTGATATGTAATCCTTGGCCAAAACCAAGAACAAATCTAGCTCGTAAGCTTGGGAAACTCCTCGGAGTAACTTGTTTGATTAACTTCAAAAACGTCACTTTACAATCCATGAATGGAGTTATTTATAACTAAAAAAATAACCTAAAAAAATTCTAAGAGAACAAGGAAACAAAACTACAACTAAACAAGAAAATGAATTCTTTATAAACAAGGAAACTTGTTTAACAAGAAACACTCCTTTTCTTCTAAGCAAACGGTCCAGGAAACACCCTTCTTACCAACTTTGAGCTCCTGGAAAATGGTGTTTTGGGTTGAGTCGAGGTCAGCCAATTCCTTCTCTGGGTTTAGAAAGTTTCATAGTTCCATGCCCAACTCCAAGCTCCAGCTGTTCGTGTCTCGAACTTCGTGGATAAGAGCTCAAATTTGCTATCTCGAACTGACTTTCTGCCTTAGCCAAAATCAGGCAATTTCAGGTTGCAGGATAGATTTCTGAATGGCTTGAAAACACAACCTTCCTGGCTTCTCCTTGTCGATCCAAGCACTCCACATTGTAGAAGAACATCACAGCTCCAAACAAACCCTTAACCTTGCATTTTCAATGAATTAGTTTTGAAAACCAAGCCTCCAAAGCAGGGTTCCCAAAACTGCTCCAACACTTAACCCATTTCCAACTTTGTTCTTGTTAGATTGGTTGGAACTTTAACAATTAATTGGGACTTGTAGAGCGATCGAATTGAGATCATATCAAATCAGATTAGTTCAGTTTAGCTCGAACTAATTTGGATTTATACGAGAGCTTGTGGAAAATCCTCATTTGTGTTACAATTTTAGATGGTCATTCAAATACTGAAAAACAATTAAACTAAGAGTAACCCTTAAATAATGATTCACCTAGTTTGAGTAATTTTATACATTATCTAAATATATATGTACAAGTAAGGTAGTTTTTATTTGTCAAAAAGTAGGTTAGTATTTTAATTTCTAACAATTTAATGATTTTACATTAGAATATTTTGACTTAGTACCAACAAAGGGCCCATAGTTTAAGATTTGTGTCCCTATGTATTGGATTGCAATGTCAAGAATGTTCTCTGTTGTTTTGTTGATCGTTAGACATAACGATGAATATAACAACAATTAAGAATGTTTTTATAACTCATATTAGGGGGTATATTTCCGAAAAATGCCTTCTCATCTTGATTTTAATTTTTGATTGTTTATTTGTGTACTATTATGAGTATTGCATGAGTAAAATAGTAAAATAGTAAAATCAGCTCAAACAATTGACTTGATAATAGGTAACGGACGAGTATTATAGTATACGTAGACTCTGTAGATACAGGCCTTACTTCCTACTATATCACCTTAGTAGAATGATAAGTTTTCTTACCTATTTTTCTATGTAATTACGAGCGATCAATAACTTGGCATATCCTTTTATTTTATTTTCAATGCTCTTGTGGTATTTTGTTGTGACGCTAGGATGAAAGACATCATAACTGTGGGATAGACATAGGGGTGTCAGTCGGTTTCGGTTTAACCAAAAATCAAATTCTCAGTTACCGGTTAAATCGGGCCACCCCCTATGGCTACCGACCACCGACCGTGAGGGAGTCACGGTTAGCCGGCCAACCGACCGGTCGGTTTCAGTTTAAGGCTCGGTTAGTCGGCTAACCAAAAAACATACCCTTCTCTTTTTTTTTTGGTAGAATAAACATACCCTTCTCTCCATATTGACGATTAATTTTTTATTTCAGAGGCACTACGCGTCTAGTCTACGCCTGCCCACTTTCTCCTTCATTCTCTCCTCCCTTCTCCTCCATTTTAGATCTGTTGAGAGTTGAGACTCTCTTCCCTTCTCTTCATTTTAGATCTATTGAGCCTCTCCTCCCTCTTTCCTTCCTTCTCTTCATTTTAAATCAGAAGAAGCAGCACTGGCCAAGGGAATGGAGGCGCGGCCGAACCAATGGTGGTGACTGGTGGTGGCGGACAAGCGGCGAATCTCGACGAGTCTCGCCTGTGATGGAAGAGAAGAAGGAGCTCTTGCGTCTCGCCTGCTCTCGACGACGATGGTGGTGGCGGACAAGCAATGGCGGAGATGAAGGAAGCAGAGGCGGAGAGGATGACTGACAATCTGGTGTCGGAAGCCGCGCGACGCGGGGAGATTCGAAGAGGCGCGGCGCAGCGCGGGGAGATCTGGAGAGGCGGCGCGGTGCGGGGAGAAAGGAAGGGGAGATTTTTGTTTTGGGAATTAGGGCTCTCAGGGAAGGGGTTAGGTTTCGTTTGTGTGTGGCTGTGTGGGGGAGGTGTTCTGGGAATGGAAGCGAGATCAATTTGGAGCAGCAGGCGTGGAGGTCGATTACCTTCGGTTAGTCGCGTAACCGGTTTCCGGTTAGTCGGCTAACCGAAGCACCCTTCAGGCCTTTCGGCAACCGACCGCTACAAGTAAAGGGCGGTTATCGATTCGCCGCTAACCGGTGGTTATAATGTCAAACCGACCGGTTAGCCGCTAATCGACAACCGAGCTGCCACCCCTAGATAGGTAGCTATAGTCTGAGTCTCATAGTTCATGATATCATGTGTATTGTGACATGTGACAGAAAAGTGCAGGAATATAGTCATATGGATTTTGTTCCTAAAAAATATAATTTATAGATGTTATTAGTCTTTATAAAAATATATTACTAGGAATTTTTTCTTGTAATATTATGATGTGAGTTTACATTTTCTCTTTTAAAATCCATTGAATATTTTCCCCATTTTTTTTTATAACAAATTTACCTGATGGATTGAGTTTTGATTTAAAAAAGTCCAACCCAAATCGGGCCATTACCGTCCCTAATTTCTGCTAACAACCTTTTGTAAGATGTAGCGCCAACATTTAATAAAAGGTAAATTTGGTCGTTCCTTACAAAATAGACATGTAAGTAAGGTCACTATTTTCATAGAAAAGGAGTGTGGAACAGTTTTCAGAATTGACCTGAAAAAGTGGGAGCTGGGTGCAGTGATTGTGTCGTTTGGATGAACTAATAGTGCGACCATCCTTGCAAGTTGGAGCAGCCCATCAAGGTGATGTTCCATTCAAACCAAACAAACAGAAATTCCCCAAGAAAAGGAAGATAAAAGGAATCCTCGCCTAGATTCACCAACCGTTGCTTATCCATTGCTTACCCAAATCGATCGATGAGGGTTCTGCTGTTTGGTGGTCCTAGCTTCACAAGATCGTTGCTTATCCATTGCTTAAAAATAGTGATAATAAGTCAAAATAGAAGAACTATGAATAGATATATAGGAAGAATTTGAGATAGAATGAGACAAGAATGGGGTGGGGTGGGACGGGTCGGGGAGGGTCGGAAGTAGGATACCTATGTTTCGCCCCACGTTACTACGAGTCGGGTAATACCAGCCCCATCATAGGTCAGGTCGGATAATACCTGGCGGGACGGGTTCAAATTGTCATCCCTAGTCAACTGCACTTCATCGAGGGGGAGATACGGTGCAAATCAATTGTAGTTTTATTATAACTTTTTTTTGGGTGTGATTAGTAATAAATTTTTATGGTTGATTAAATTTTTATGAATTAGAAACTCATATGAATTAAATTAATTTTTTTGAAATATATATCTTATATTATTTATATTTATATGAGAATTCAACCCATATTAATTATATTTTGCTTTCTCCTAATCCTTGGAACTGAAAATAAATCTTGGAAAACAATTCGTCTCTAAATTCTCCACTACTTCTCTAATTTTCTAGATCCATAGCCCTAGGAAACCAAATGCAAAGCTTTCTGTGAGATTTCTTATACCAACTTAACATAATTCTTCTCTTGACATGGTTCCCTGCAGCTTTACCATGAAGCTCAACAAGCACAAATCTATAGTTTGCCTTCCTAGCTAGCATGGCGAAATTATTAAACATGTCTTGCTATAATCTTCCACGACATTCATACCACTTCAACGACAAGATGTCAAACACGCAGAGCTCTCCCTCAACCCATCAATTAACCATGGTCGAATCATACTCTAATCGTGCTGCAGAGATGAAAAGACAAATAAAAACCACAAATCATGTATCGTGTTCTGAATCACAACACCGCCATCACCCATAACAGCAGCCTCCATTACGTACGAGCAAATAGTGAAATTCATTCACAAAATTAAAATATCCAAATATAGAAGTTGTGAATTACAGCTAACCGACCATGAATCAACGCACAAATAAATAAATCAACAACAAAAATCCAAATTACTACCAAATTAAGTTCGTAGCCATGCAAAAAGATCGATCTCATACGGGACTGACATCCCTGCCGCCCTTGGCCTCCTCCTCCGCCTCATTCTCGCCGGACAACTCCTCCAGCGACTTCCCATTCGACTCCGGCACCAGAAACGTGAAACAAAACCCCACCAAATTAATGAATCCCATCACTATCAGCGACCACTTCATCCCAATCCCAGTGCTATAACCTTTATCCACCTTCGCCGGATCCGTCGACTGCGACGCGTACAAAAACCCAAACGCCCCCACGATCGCCCCGGCCTTCCCCGCCGCCGCCGATATCCCGTGACACGTCGACCTCAGCCTCGCGGGGAATATCTCCGCGGGGACGATAAACGTCGTCGCGTTGGGCCCGAAGTTCGCAAAGAAGAAAGTCAGCCCGTAGAAGACAAGAAACCACACGTGGTTCCCTTCCAGCGTCCAGTGGTGGTACGGAATCGCCAGCGCGAACATGAACACCGTCATGCCAATGAACCCGACCAGCTGAATCTTCTTCCTCCCCATCCAGTCGATCAGCGCCACCGTGACCCAGTACCCGGGGACCGTACCGCAGAGTGCAATAATCGTCTGTGCTCTAGCCACCTTGAACACCTCGTGGATCCCGTTCATCGTCGCGGCCGGTGGGATCCACTTGATGGCCGTGAAGATGTCCTTTTGGAACAGGTTCTGGCTGTAGTACGCGATGTCGAGGAGGAACCACGTGGACGTGGTCCCCAGGAGGTGGAGCCCGTGTCGTTTGAGGAACTCGCGCGTGAACAGCCCGAACTGGTTGCTTGCTGTGTTCGTTTTAACCTTTTCCTGTTCCTGTGCCTCGTCGGGCTTGAAGTCCATGACCTTCGCCATGTCCTCGTTAGCCTGCTTCTCGTTCTTGGCAACCAGAGCGGTATATCGCGCGGTCTCGGGCATCTTCATGCGCCAGTAGTAGGTCAGCGCGGCGGGGATGGCGCCGAACATGAGGATGATCCTCCAGACGTAGTCCGCCTGAGGCGGGAGGGAGGCGAGCCTGTCGACGGCGTAGGGTGGGGCGTGGAACGCGTGGTCGAACGCTGCGGAGACGATGAGGGCAACGATGCCTCCGGCCAAAATGCCGAAACCTTGCATGGCGAAAACGGCGGCGATGAACGCGCCGCGTGTCTTTTTATTGGCGTACTCGGACATGATTGTGGCTGAGAGAGGGTAGTCGCCGCCGATGCCGAACCCTAGCCAGAAGCGGAAGAAGCAGAGCGTGGAGATGACGCCGGTGGCGGTCTGGCCGAAGGAGAGGCCCGAGGCGATGGAGCAGAAGACCATGATGGCGAGGGTCATGCCGTAGACCTTCTTGCGGCCGAGCTTGTCGCCGAGCCAGCCGAAGAAGAGCTGCCCGACGAGGGTGCCACAGAGGGCGACGCCGTTGACCGCGGCGGCGACGTTGGGCGGGAGGGATCCAGGTTTTGGGGAGGTGGGGTCGGTGTAGTAGATGCGGCCGAGGAGCTTGGTGACGAGGGAGATGCAGAAGAGGTCGTAGGCGTCGGTGAAGAACCCCATGCCGGCGATGACGACGGCCGTGAAGTGGTACCATTGGGTCTTGGCGGCGTCGAGAGCGGCGAGCACTCCCAGCGGCTTCTTCTCCATCGGACTGTACCCCTCAGATTTCATGTTGCTGCAGAAAAACCAAACGAGACAGAATTAGGGCATACACTAAAATTTAAAGGCACGTATACGTTTGCACGGATGCCTGGGCAAACCGCACTAACGAAGAAGATTATAGCAAAGTGCAAACAAACAAAAGCGAGGGAGAAAGAAGCAGAGAGAAAGAGAGAGCTATTATTCGATGAAAAGATAGATAGAGGTAGGAGAATTGAGAAGAGAAGCTGATCGAGAATTACTGACCTTAACTCTGCGGACAGTTCTTGGAGAAAGTTAGCTATTTGTGAGTTGGTGCGTAGCGGTGGAGGAAGGTGGGAGGTTGGGGGTGGGTTTTATAGAGTAGTATCGGACCAAATACGAAAGTGGTAAGGGCTAGGAATCTAAGGGGAATATGCATGCTCGCAGTTTTCTATTCGGAATTCGCAATTCTTAATCGAACTAAATACGGACTAATCATGTCATTGGGTTTCTTTTCTATTTTCGGCTTCTGATTTGCATAGTTTAATATAGTTAGACGTATTTTTTTACTAGGTTTAGTGCTCCTTAATATTATTATATATATATAAATCTAGCTAAATAATTATTAATCATACCCTTTTCGTGAGATTGTTTTTAAATTTTAGTATTTTGGACCATTGAAATTTCTAACTAAATTAGGGGGAAATGTTTCAAACAATAACCAGGAAAAAAGAAATTCCACAAACAAACAACCGGATTTTTGTATGTAAATACTTTTGCACGTATTTCAAAAACAAAGGATTAGTGGCTTATGAGAACAGAATTGTAGTTATGACCATACTTTGATGAATGATAACAACGTAAAACATTGTGTACCTTTGTGTCCTTTTGCACTAATTAAGTATATAGATAAGCAACCATGGTTAGACAGTCACTGGCGCGCAATCTGATAGATTATTAATTTACCATTTGACGGTCACTTTTAAATTTTAATTCTATTTTAAGCTACTTCAATTGACAATAAGTGCGACATATTTTCTCTCAAACGTGAAACTTTCTGAGCGACAAATTACAAGTGTTTTCTAAATTTTGTGTCAAGAACAACAAAAAAAAATCCAGCATTTTGATAATTTTGAGAGTGATTTTCAAGGGTGAATCTCATGCTAAGGGTCTAGATTATGGCTAGCTAACTCTCCGGCTCAAGATAGGGTGAGTATTAATAAGTAACCAAATCTGGACATTTCTTTTAAGTGACTGCAGATCTAAGGGTGGAGAATTAAATGAATTTATTTTTCCTAGTTTTCATAATCGGATCATATCTTCTTCATTCTAACTCGAATCATATCTTCTTCATTACTATGTTATGTAGTATCCAGTAAATATTGGAATGCAAATTTTAAACTATTAACTATGTCAAAGTTACAAAATGCGTAAGTCTATAACAATTGGTTGATGGAATAATGAAACTTTTTATTCAAATACTACATGGATTCTTAGTAGAAAAAGTGAGAAATGTCTAAATTGATACAGTCTTACTAATTTGTGAGGAACTTATTATAAATGTTAGTCAACTTTCTTAATGACTAATTGGAGAATTGTATTTTAGGATCACCTCTAACCCTACCGCATCTATCCGCCACCCACCTAACCCAACCCGAAGAAGAATGTGAGTGGATAGTAGGTCACAATTATATCAACTAGTTAGTAAGCGAGTGGGTCAATTTGAGACCAAAATTCACCCAACACATTGCCAACCCCTAATAACAGGTACTAAAGGGCTAAACGTAGCTCTAAAATTACTGTTATTGCCTTAACTTAAAAATATAAAATTACTAAATCATCTTTCGTTAATAAAATTAAATTCAACGAACCAAATAGTTGCTATACTAATCCTCCATCTTCATCGATAAAAGCCTTCTAACGGCCCCTTTATCGTTCACCAACTCCCTCTTGCACTCCAAGTGACCCACCATCGGCTTTCTTTCTCCCTGCTATGTGTCATTTGTCTATAAGCAACCCTCTTAATTATGGGGATTTTCTATGGCTTTGTTGCAGTTGGAATCAAGATTGACGAACATACCCGGTTCAGAATCTGTAATGCTCAGACCCATAACACATGCATCATCTAGTTGGAGCCTCCATCAAATATATACTTAGTAGATGTGGCCTCAACTAAATTATGGGCCTAATATGCATGTGCCACAGGATTGACAGGCTTAATTATATGTGGCTTAGACTTTTTTCTATTTAATCCATGATATTGATAACGCATGGCCATGGAGAATAATTTATTTTAATTACATGTGGGCCTCTGTTTCTCTTTTCACTTGGGGTTGTTTGGATGAAACATTTGTAAAACAGACAATTTGGGACAAATGTTCCATTCTAGAAAATGAGGCAATTCTGTGAGAAATTTGTTCACATTTGTCTTGTTTGGATGATTATTTGACATGAGACAATATGAATGAGGCATTTCGTAAAAATACAGTTTGACCTTACATTTTTTGAAAAAATTCTTAACTACCATAGTTTAAAAAAAATTCCAAATCTACCACCCAAAGCAAAAAAATTCCAAAGCTACCACCATAATTTCAAAACCGCCTCCTAGGGTGGCGGTTTGGACATGAAACGCAGGGTAAAGCAGCGGTTTGCATGAGAACCGCGTTAGGAGGAGGCTTTTTTACTTTTTTTCATAAATCGCACCTTGGGCCTGCAGTTTATGGTTGCAAACCACCTCTTGAAGGAGAGGTTATAGGTCGACAAGAGAAACCGCTCCTTCAGCAGGCGATTTTATGTGTCGACACATAAAATGCCCCCTCCCCCTGCAGTTTGTGTGTAGTCCCGACACCCAACATCTGCATGCATGCAGGGGGACGTGGGGCTACATAGTAGAGCAAAGCCCCCTCCACTAGCGGTTTGTAGTGAAAATTTTGCCTATAAAAGGAAGCTTTGAGAACATCAGCTCCTCACCACTCTCCTTATTCTTCCTCAAATTTCTGTTGTGCACCATACTTTTTTTATTTTTTACGTTTAACGTTACTTCGTAAGGTTGTTTTTTATTACTTTTTTTTTATGAATTTTGATTTTGATGGTATTAATTTAGTTATGATTTTATTGCAGATGGCATTTCAAAAGTTCAGGTTAGGGTTACGGTGTAATGATTATACGAAAGAGACCGGAAAGGGGGTACGTTACGTTAGTGGTAATTTTCATAAAGTGAAGGTCGCTACGAGATCGAACCTTGAAGAGCTCAGTCAAATGTGTACTGAGGTTACTTGCATGGATGGCATGAGAAGATTTGTCGTATGGTGTATCGATATCCAGACAGACATGGCGAGGCTTTGTGGTATGAGGAATTTCTTATAACCACTCAGGAGGACGTAGATGCCATGGTCAAATTTTTTATCGCCAATAACATTAAACAAGCAGAGTTGTTCGTTTAAACCGATGCGGTCGATAGCGGTGGAGGTCATTCCGGAGATGGCCAAACATCTGGTATGCACGGTGGAGGTGGATTATACGAAGATCATCCATACCAAGGTTACCATGATCCTCGTGCCTACCATGAGTTACAAGAAGGAGGTGGAAGTCATCATAAATCCTTCCCATCATATGAAGAAGAAGCCCAAGGGTACCATGACAACCAATAAGAAGGCTACCGGTACCAACCCGAGTACAACTTCAACAAACAAGAAGGCTAACACTACTAACCCGAGTACAACTTCCACGAAGGAAGCAGTAGTTATCACAACTAACATTACAGAGATGATGAAGGTGCCTTTCATGATCTGGATTAGATGGAAGATGCCCTGCCATGTCCAGTTAGTGACCATGAGGACGAGGAGGAGGAAGGCGATTTCAGTGCAGACAGCTTCGACCCTCTTGAAGGTGTTGATGATTCAGGCCCATATTCAGACACAGATGATGATGATGATGATTTATCTCGTGACCGTGTACCCGTCCTGTACTACAATCATATTCCAAATGAAAATTGGTATGTTGATGTCGACGTGGAGCCGCCAAAGGTGCCAGTATGGGGTCCATTGACTGGGTTTATGAAGGGCCAACAATCTGATACGAAAAATGAGGTGCGACATGCTATTGCCACAGAAGCAATGACTCGGAGTTTCGATGGCAGACTACACATTCTGACACGAGGAGGCTCATAGTTATATGCTATAATCAACGCGAGGGATGCAATGCTAGGGTCCGGGCCAAGAGCAAGAGAGTTTGCCACTGGGTCATATCCTATGCGGTGAACACTCACACATGTGCATCATCCATAATATCCCGACCTGAAGGTGACATTTCTAGTCGTTATGGATATATTATTAACTATAAAAAGGTGTGGCATGGAAAGAAGAAAGCAATGGCTGCCGTATTTGGTGATTGGGAAGAATCACATGCATTCCTTCCCAGATTGATTTTGGCATTGGAGGTGTTTAACCCTAACATTGTTTTCTCCCCCCGCTACCAAGATGAAGAAATTCAGTTGCCGAAGCCCGGTAACAAACTCTATTTCAAGCGTCTTTTCTAGTCATTCAAGAAATCTTTTGATGGTTTTTCCTTTTGTGTCCTTGTGATGCAAGCCGAAATCGCTTAGAACCCAATTTTCCCAGGAAATGGGAGGATCATGATGATCGATTAAGACCCCATTTCCTTAGGCATGCATTTCATTATAAAGAGTCTAATTAAGTGACACATTGTATTGATTTAAATTATTGAAAATAATCAAAATGATTAACAATTAACAAATTTATTTTACAAACCACTAAATAATATGCACCTTGTGGTCGTTTCCAACATCCCTTGAACAATGATTATCTTGGTCATATAACACAGTCGGATCAATAGTTCCTTGATCAACGTAATATCTTTGATTGTAGATATCAACATCCTCCCCAATCTATGATAGCATAACAACAACATAATCAATTAGTAGATAGATTAAATAAAAACCATTACAACAACAACAACAAAATTTAGGTAAAATGAGTACGTACTGCTTGATAGTCATCATAATAAATACACTCTTGTTCGAAAAAATTGGCCATTTTTTCAGGAACCAGACAAAGATTCAACGGGTTTTGAATGAAAACCCAAAGAAAAGTTTTTTGATGGCAGATTTGACTTAGCCGCAACCAACAGAACACTATTTCCAAGGTTTTTGGGTGGAGAGGGGATGGATAAAGAGAGAAACTTTGAGAGAGAGAGAGAGAGAGAGAACAATGGGTTTTGGTGTGAAGAAATGAGCGGGAGGGGGTTTATATAGTGGGAGAACTGCCTGGCCATGGGGCGGTTCATGTCCAAACCGCCACCCTAGGAGGCGGTTTTGAAATTATG